CTGGCTGAAGGATAAGTTTCAAGCTCTACAGGAAGCCGATGAACGCTTCACTTGCAAAAACATTTTGTCGGAGGCGGGTGGTCGCATTTCCCAAGAGCTGCTGGCGCCTCTTTTCAATAAACAGCAAGCCGAGTCCTTCAGCTTTGTGGCTGTATGTGGACCCACGGGGTTTAATACAGCCGCGGTGAACAGCTTGAGGGAACTAAAACTGAAGCCGGGCCAGATGCATGTTTTTCAGTGACAAAATTGGTTTAAATAGTCATGCTCATCAATTTCTTGTTTATAAAATAATCAGGCTAGTCACAATTATTAGTAACTTGCTTAAGATATAGTAAAGTCTTTGTATATCAGTTTTATAAACTTTCCTATATATTATCCATAGTATTAATGTATGCCGCAGTTGATAAGGGCTACTAGCCTGATTATTATTAATGTGTTGTAAACCTATTTTTTTAGAATTCAGTACTTTGTTTTTTGTTTATATATATTTTTACATCTTTGTTTTTAATAATTTAATAAGATTAACAAATACTAGAAAATTGTTATTCCTGACGTTTTTGTTTACAGAAAAAGGCATCGACGTCATTGACTAAATTTTGCACAACAGTCGCTCAGTTATCGAAAATATATGTTTACATATATATTTAATGTTGGGAGATAAATTATTTGTGGTGTTGTGTAGGACGCTGAGAGGCTTTTCGAAATATACAATAATTGAAATTAACTACATAATATAATTTTGACATCAAAAACCAATCGGTCGTAGACCTGGCATAATTTAGTTTTTAACAAAAGTGAGACTTGCGAATCTTTTCCACAATTTGCCTGTTAACTATTAAGTAAACATGCGAGTGTGTGTGTTTATTTTCTGTTCGAGTGTATGTGTGTGTATGCTTGTAAGTTTCGTGGCGTCTTCTAGTAAGAGCGAATTGCTGGTGGCACCGTCTCTACCTCATTGTCCAGAGTCTGGTCAATAACTGGTCTGTATTTGAGTTCCACATCGCCATCATCGCTACACACCCAGGCGAGCGTGTGCTTACGCCAATGCTGGTCGAGGGGTTTCTTCTGCTGCGATTCCAAGGGCTTGCTATAGTCCTGTGTAAGACAAACAATAGGAGGCATTAATAGGCAGTCAAATGAAAGCATAATATTTATGTTTTCCTTACGTATTCATCGATGCGATCCTTGAAATCTTCGCGTGCGTGTGCGCCGCGTGATTCCTTGCGCGCCTCAGCTCCGACGATGGTCATCTGAGCATTAGCCAGCAAATTCTGCAGCTCCAGTGTCTCAATTAGATCCGAGTTCCACACAAGCGACCTAAATGCGTGAAAATTCAATACTTAATAGGCAACCATCGGTAAATTTTGGAGTTACGTACTTGTCAATAACTTTGATGTCCTTGAACTGTTTGTAGATCTCCTTCATTTCGCTAACGCCCTTCTGCAAGATGGGTCCATCGCGGAATACAGCAGCATGGTTCTGCATGCAGCGCTGCATCTTGAGACGCAGATCTGCGGTGGTTATATTGCCATTTGCATGACGCAGCTTATCCAAATTGGCCACAGAGAACTCGCCAGCATTCTGCAAATGATTTAGCGAATAAATACAAAATTCTAATAGAAGCTCATTTATATAGAGTTGACTTACATCCTTCAGCTCGGGTGCTTTCTCGCCGGGTTTGTTTTCCTCGGCTATGGTCTTAGCGCAGGCACGGCCAAACACCACCAAATCCAGCAGGGAGTTTGCACCCAATCGATTGGCGCCATGCACCGAGCTACAGGCTGCCTCACCGGCCGCATAGAGACCGCGCACAATCTTGTCCTTGCCGTTCTCGTCAATGGTCAGCACCTGGCCACGATAGTTCGTTGGGATGCCACCCATGTTGTAGTGTACGGTGGGCAGCACAGGAATGGGCTCGCGGGTGACATCGACGCCGGCGAAAATCATAGCAGTCTCTGAAATGCCGGGCAGACGTTCAGCCAGCTGTTTGGGCGGCAAATGATGCAGCTGCAGGAATACGTGATCTTTTTCGGGTCCCACACCGCGGCCCTCCATAACCTCAATGGTAATGGAGCGGGAGACAACATCGCGAGAAGCTAAATCCTTGGCGACAGGCGCATAGCGCTCCATGAAACGCTCACCCTTGGAATTGATCAAATAGCCACCCTCACCGCGGCAGCCCTCAGTAATAAGACAGCCGGCGCCATAGATTCCAGTCGGATGGAACTGCACAAACTCCAGATCCTCTGACGGCAGACCCTGACGGGCCACCAATGCGGTGCCATCGCCAGTGCACGTATGCGCCGAGGTGCAGGAGAAGAAGGCGCGTCCATAGCCACCTGTGGCGATGACCGTATTCTTTGCACGGAAGCGATGCAGACTACCATCCTCCAAATTAAGGGCCAGCACGCCACGGCACTCGTCATTCTCGAAAATCAGATCCAGAGCAAAGTACTCCACAAAGTAGTTGCAATCGTAGCTCAACGACTGACCATACAGGGTGTGCAGCAGCGAGTGGCCGGTACGATCCGCAACGGCGCAACATCTGTGGGCCTGACCGCCCTTGCCGAACTTCAGACTCTGGCCACCGAAGGCACGCTGATAGATCTTGCCATCCTGGGTGCGAGAGAAGGGCATGCCGTAGTTCTCCAGCTCAATGACAGCCTTGGGTGCCTCGCGTGTCATATAATGAATGGCATCCTGGTCGCCCAGCCAGTCACTGCCCTTCACCGTATCGTACATGTGCCACTTCCAGTCATCCTCCTCCATATTGCCAAGAGCCGCATTAATGCCTCCCTGTGCAGCAATCGTATGCGAGCGTGTGGGAAACAGTTTAGTGATAACCGCTGTGCGGAAGCCCTCAGCGACCAGGCCAAAGGCAGCACGGAGTCCCGAACCGCCGGCACCGACAACAATCGCATCGTATTCGTGATCTACAATCGGATACTGCTTGGAGATGGCATCGGGATTCGCTGATTTAGCCTTCTGGTATCCGGGGGTTACATGGTAGCTGCGGCGCTGCTGCGTCGCTGCGGCAGCTACTGTTGCCACACGTTGCTGCAATTGACAAATTGCATGCTGATTAGATTTAATGGAACGTTACGAGATAACTGCTATCAGTCACGTCACTTACGAAGCGTCTAACACACGAATAAAATGCAATTTACGATCAGTTGCTTCAAGGCATTCAGTCGTATTTAACAGCCGATGTAAATTTAATGACTGCAATCTAATAACTACATTTAATAATTGATACGTTATAGCTATATAATGTCAGTGCTATGTGGATTTAGAAATCGCATAATGCCTGATTGAGTGGGAAATAATGCAAAACTAAATAAAAATTGCAATATTATAGCAATATATTGACTGATCGTGAATTATATCATTTTAAAGAACAGACTGAACTAGCTCTGATTCTGAGTAGCCTGCAGATTTTATAAATCCATTAGGTAATTCCAATCAGACTCAATTGGAAATTTTGAGATCCGGTAACACTAGCTAATTTAACACTCTTAACACCCCATATCAGTAACATATAAAAGAACATGGGACGGAGCCTAAAATTCTGCCACTGCTGCATTAGGTAAATTTAGTAAATTGCCAGCACAAATATCGCGATATCTGAACTGTAGGTGCTAATGGAACTGCTCAGATAAGATGACTTTTGTTTTTGCAAAAAACAAAAAACAACTGCACATTCACACACACATGTGTATATGGTCAAGCGATTGTGTGAGTGTTGGGCAATAATGCAGATTAAAGAGAGCCGCACACGCCATGGGAAGATTCCCATTGACTATCGTTGACAAAGCATTGTATTAAGGATTATCAGTTAAAGCGTCGCTTARAAGAACGCACACACACACAAACATTGTATTGCTTATGTAATAATTAGCATTTAAAATATAGCTCATATCAATAATTTGCATTGTATAATCAGCTGTGTGGCAGCGGTCGCGCCTCTCTCGCATGTGGACATTGAATGTAGGGGGCTTATCTGCATGACTGAACACTTAAATAACACACAAAACGCACACTAACAACGCCTATCAAAATGCCGAATTTTGATGTCGCATCTGTTGCCAAACTTATCGCAMGGGGGAATTTCGGTGCGTAGTACGTGCAACATAACCTCTGTGCATCACTTGCACTCTCGATTTCAATTGAACAATGAAAATTGCAGTTTAGTTAAATTCGAATTCGTAATGTGCGTTGGGTTTACGCAATGCTAGGGAAACCTCTGTTTCTATCAGTTGGCCAGGCGCAAATTTAACAAATTACATAACATTGCTACGGGCTCAGTGAGGGCCGAAATTTTGGTAGAACTTGTAGAGGCTGCATCGAGAAATTGAAATACTCGTTGTCGAATTAGTTTACTTGCCTGACAAATGTATAAACTTGTCAATAAAATAATTGAATTGCATGGATACCTACCATTGAGGCGAATGCAGTTTTGGCCAAAATCGATGGCGCACGCATAATTCCGGACATCTTGTTGGGTGTTGCTGCTCAGCTGTGTGTCTGCAATAGAAGGTACACTTTAGTCTAGTTTGTGCCCGAGCCCCTCAGACAGTGTTCGCTTCAAAATTTGAGAAAGTAAAAACGCACAACCGATGCGTTTTTGTGGCAATGTGAACAAAATGAAAAAGTTTACAAACTTTTAAAAGTTATATGTCGACTGCAGTGTGACCCGAGTTTGGAAAATTGACAAATACATCTCTTACCAGGGGTGCAAATAATTATCGCTCTGATGCTGGCATCGATACTTTTGGGGAGTAACATATGTTTTCTCCATCTGTTCGAGGTTTTGTTTTTAAGCATATTCGAATTTCAAACTTGTTTTTTTTTACATTTTTTTTTAATACGTAGTTTTTCAAAATCTTTTACACAGCGATATAGCAACAGTTGTCTGTTCACAGTGTGACCAGATTCAAAACAACACATTAAATTAGGATTAATAAAATATATTAAATGCATTTTGTAAATGTGCATCGATAAAGTTCATGTACATTGTATATACAAATGCTGAATATCTGAGATTCATTATTTGGGTGCTCTAGATCCACACCTATTTGCATATTCCTCCGGAGTAAAGTCCGACATATTGTTAATGCCCATTTTCCAAGTTACTTCGCCATTCTCGTACTTTTTATTATGCTCCTCGACTTTCGCCTTAGTTTTCTCGTATAAGGAACGCCGCTTTTGGTCTTCATCGCCTTCATATACCTTGTTATGGGTAGTCTAAATATTCAGACGCGTTAATTTCGTTGTTGAGTTGTTTAGCATAGCAAACATTACCTTAAACTGGGTCCACTCATCGTCACTAACGAGCGACATGTTCACTTTGTTCAATTTGTCGGTAGAAATTGCAATAAGTGTTTATCTCGACTATATATTGAGCTCAGGATGACTCATTTACAAACATCTAATGCGCAAAACAATCAACACAATGCAAAATCAAAACAAAGTCAACAGCATTCGCGTAAAGTTGGCTGCATGTAATCTACAACTGTTGTGGCTACACTGTTAACATCGCATTTATGGTTTCTGCTATCGGTTACAATCTGTAGCCACCGTGGCAACGCTATTACCGTTGGATCTGTGTCTCTGTTTATGTTTAATGTATTATAGCTAGAATAGTAGGAATAAACTTGATATTTTTTAATCAAAATTTTAAAAGATATGTCAAGTTTTTGGGACAGACCTGGTGGACATAATCAATATATAGCGGCAGTTTTAGCTTCACTCAGCGTATTTAATTTTGGTGTCACAATCGGCTGGTCAGCACCTTCGGTTTTTGCTGTTACGGATAAAAAGTATTATGGTTTTGCAGTGAGACTGACCGAATATGGATGGGCCTGTGCAATGGCCAATTTGGGGTGCAGCCTAACGATGGTGCCGGCCGCTGCGTTAGCCAACTGTATAGGCCGGAAGTTGATAATGCTGTTAGTGGTGCCCCCATACATAGCAGGATGGGTGCTAACGATGTATCCGTTTAATATGTATTTGCTCATGTTCTCGCGGCTGCTGCAAGGACTATGCGCCGGCTGTTATACGATAATCGCATCGGTGTACTGTGTGGAAATTTCTCAAGTGGAAGTGAAGCCATATATTGGCAATTTCCCCTTAATATTCTATTATCTGGGAATCCTATATGCTTATATCCTGGGCGCCTTCAACAATATGCGTTACCTAAATTACGGCTGCGCCGTTACGCCGGCCGTGTTCCTGCTCACCTTTGTGTGGATGCCGGAGTCGCCGGTGTATTACATGCTTAAGAACAAGAAGATGAAGGCCATTGGCTCGCTTCAATGGCTACGGGGCAAGCATATGGATGCGGCTCGAGAGTATGACGACATAATGGGGGCCATAGAAAGACTTCGAGACAATAATAAATTCAGCTGTCAGAAATTGCGGCGCTTAGCCTCGGCCAAGGCAATTATTATATGCACGATCATGGTGGCGTTCAAGAACTTATGTGGCAGCATCGCTATCATAATGTATTCCACACTTATGCTAGACGCGGCTGATAGCCAGATTTTCATGGACTCCAAAGTTTCTATCATATTTATTGGAATCTCTGTTTTAATATCTACCCTAATTTCGGTGCACAAATTTGACAGTCGTAGAACTCTGATGATATGGTCGATCATAATGGTGGCACTAAATTGTGCTTTGCAATCCATTTATTTTCAGATGAAGGATAACTACGTGCATTCGCTTCAATGGCTGCCCATTGTGAGTTTCTGTTGCTTCTCTTTCTTTTTTGGACTGGGCGTGGGTATTTATCCGTTCGTCATGATGCGCCAATTGTTTGGAGAGAATATTGAAATTCTGGCAGCTAGTGTCGTTTGGACTCTTAATGAACTATTTGGTTTTTGCGGGGCGGTGTCATTTCCATATATATTGCACGTTTGGAATATGGCCGTATGCTTTTGGATATTTACAGCCCTCGCATTTTTGTGCCTGATATTTATATACTTATTAGTGCCAGAGACTAAAAAGCTTGCCGATAGTAAAGAAATGTTGGACGAAAAACGGAATACCGTTACCAAATAAATATCACAAACAACACGCTTACATTCAACCTTTGCTACGGACTGAATACAAGACTATGAAATGATCTTCGAAATGCCGTCAACTGCTTCAAATTAATTGCTTTCAATTGCAATTTTTAGATTATTTTTTGAGTTTTAAAATTGATTGGATTGACGCCAAGTTCAATAAATTCCAGTGTCTGCAGTAAGAGCTTAAGTACTTCCTAGAAAGCTAAAACAAGGCTAATGATTTACAATAACACAACTTTTCGTCAAAAAAAAAAAAAAAAAAAAAAAACGAAATGAGAAGGAATACGAGGTGCGCCTTACCTGGGTGATTCAGAACTTAGCTTCACTGCATCAGCATCGCCAACATGATTGTAAAAGTGTTATAAAAAAGCATCCAGAATAAAGTTAGTAATTATGTAGTCGATTGCTTTATTAATATGAAAGCTTCACAGATGGATACAGCATACACTAGAGTCTATGATCAATGAAACATAAAATCATATACATAGCTGAGTCTAAAAGCAATTGAAAGAGTGTGACTTCAAGCTCTGTTCAATACCTACTTAGCCTATGCTTGTTAAGAGTAAATGAATTTAGCGGATACTGATATTGAGATAGTAAAACAAATGTTTAATGTCGAGGACTCTAGGCACTTTCTATGCAAGATCACTAACCACAGAACAGAGAGAAAGAGAGAGCAAGGGAAACATTCAGCGTAGAGGGAGCTTTTGTTCAACAGTCGATCAACTCGGCCGTGCGCATAAGGCTAAATGATTTTGTGTTCCCAAATTTTCGTAGCCCGAGCCTAAAAGTGAGGAGCCGAGCAAATACGAAGTGGTGTGGGAACTAATGCTCGAAAAAAAGTGTGCAAAACGCTTTACACTACTTGTCCGGTCTATGCCACAAACCGGCAAGGTGTTAACGGCCAGGCGATTTGAAACAGGACGCCACTCACGACTCATCTGTGGTGATATTTTCATTCAAACACCACTCAATATGCCTGCAGGGTGGCAGCATTGGCGACTCACGCGTGCTTTTTAACAGTGGGCGCTGTTAGTGCTGGAGCTGTGGTGAATATGAAACTCTATCTTTGGTGCAGCATAAACAACAATTAAAAAAAAAAAGAATATAAATTTTGAATTACTTAGGCGCCTTCAGCGCTTTTTTTGTTCATATTGAAACATAGTTGGCTTACCAAATTCGGCTTTTATATTTGTTGTACAAAATCTAGTTCGGCAGATAGTTTCTCGCTTAAATAAGTTTTATCTTCTCGGACATTTATTGATTTGAAAATTTACAGAACAAGTATTAAATATTAGAGATTAAGTATGCCTGTAGTCAGGCAATATTTCGCTGGCTTAGCAGCGGCATTCGGAGCATTTTGCCTGGGCGCCTCTATTGGCTGGACAGGGCCAATGGAGCCCCCAATAAAATCAGGAAAAGCCTATAAATTTACCGTATCGGGAGATAGTTGGGGCTGGATCAGTTCGATGTTAACATTTGGAGCTGCTTGCATGTGCATACCCGTGGGAATATTGATTGCCAAATATGGACGAAGATTAATCATGCTGTTCATATGTATACCTTATTTAATTGGATGGGGATTGATTCTAGGTGCGCAACACTCTGCCATGCTGTACATTGGCCGATTTATTGTCGGCGCCTGCGGCGGCTCGTTTTGTGTTATGGCGCCCGTTTACACAACAGAAATCGCCCAGCTCTCCGTACGCGGTGCAATGGGCTGTTTCTTTCAATTAATGATTGTGCATGGCATTCTCTACGGGTTTGTTGTGGGCGCCTACTGTGACCCACTCGTGGTTAACATCCTGTGCACCATCTTGCCACTGTTGTTTGTGTTATTTATGTTTTGGATGCCCGAATCACCAGTGTTCCTTGCCCAACAGGGCGAGACAGAGAAGGCAGCGAAGGCACTGAAGTGGTTGCGAGGCGATAATGTAGATGTTTCCGGAGAACTGAACACGATAATAGCAGATTCGAAAAAGGAGACAGCCTCCTTTAAAGAAGCCTTCTCGCGTAAGGTGACCCTTAAGGGTCTGGGTATAGCGATAACACTCATGCTCTTGCAGCAGTTGACAGGTGTCAACGCCATTTTATTCTACGCGACCTCCATTTTTATTCAAGCTGGCACGAATCTGAGCGCCGATGTTAGCACTATTATCATTGGCCTCGTCCAGGTGGTTGCCACGATAGCTGCAATATTATTGGTTGAGAAAGCTGGCCGCAAACTGTTGCTGCTCATCTCGGCAATTGTGATGGGTGCCACTACCCTAATAATGGGATGTTACTTTGAGTGGCTCAAAAAGAAGGATGTTGGCTGGCTACCAATTTTAGCAATAAGCTTATTTATAGTTGGATTTTCGTTGGGCTTCGGCCCAGTTCCGTGGCTAATCATGGCCGAGCTGTTTTCAGAGGATGTGAAGCCGGTGTGTGGTGCAATTGTAGGCACCTCCAGTTGGCTTTTTGCATTTTGCGTGACCAAACTGTTTCCAGTTACATTAGATGCAATCGGTCCTGCCTTTACCTTTTGGATATTTACAATTTTCGCAGTATTGGGCTGCGTATTTGTAATTTTTTTCGTCCCAGAAACAAAGAACAAGCCTCTGGATGATATTCAAGCTCTGCTCTCCGGCAAGTAATAGTCAAAAATAAATGTTTAACCAAAAATCGTCTTTCATTACTGGGTCGCATCACTGTTGAGTTGGTTGCTTAAGAGAATTTACACTTTCTGTATTTTCATCCAGAATTTTAGTATAGTGTACAATGATGTAGTGCAGTAAAGGTATAATAGTGCTGTATACAATATATATAGGACAGGGTATAAGTAGAGAAAAGGTATAACAAAGATAGTATTGCTATATTACATTATAATATAGGTACAATATAGGACGGCTGGTGTATTGTGCTTTCAGCTATAGTTTAGTATAGATCTAGGCTTGATTGGCAGCAGATACCAGATTCACTTTACAGAAAACTGCAAATTTTCTAACATTTTCTAGAATCTAGCACACTTGTAATTTGAACTGTAGTAATTTGACATAGTTCAATTGGAAACTGATACAGATACACATCAATTTGTAAAAAAGAAAAAAAAAAAAAGAAAAATAATACCATTTTAATATAATTATATACATATACGTATGTATAAATACCTCTACATATATCTATAAATGATATCATATATTTAAATGGGCATAAAAAAACAATATATTGCCGGCTTGATTGGCTCACTTGGCGCCCTATGCCTGGGCATGGTTTTGGGTTGGTCGGGACCAGCCCAAATGCTAATAGCAAAAGGAAGAGGATATAAGCGCTTTAAGCCCAGCGATGCAGAATTCAGCTGGATGGCCGCGCTGGTACCTCTGGGCGCTGCTTGCACTTGTTTGCCAGTTGGCTTTCTGGCTGGCGTTTGTGGACGCAAAATAGTGATGCTGGCGGTGGTGATTCCACTGCTGCTGGGCTGGATCTTGATCACTGCAGCAACGCATGTGATAATGGCGCAGGTGGGACGATTCTTAACGGGAGCCTCGGTCGGGGTCTACCCTATACTGGTGCCCATCTACAATACGGAAATATCCGAAGTGGCAACGCGCGGCATAATGGGCTGCTTCTATCAGCTGTGGCTCACCATTGGCATATTGATCAGCTACATCGTCGGCGGCTATGTCAGCTTACTGGTCTTCAACATCTTCTCCACTATCATTCCCGCTGCTTACTTCTTGTTATTCATTTGGATGCCCGAGTCGCCCGCATACTACGTGCAGAAAGGGAAACTAGATAAGGCGGAGAAGATTATGTACTGGCTGCGCGGAAAGAATGTGGATATATCCGCCGATTTGAGTGCCATGGCTGCCGAGGCTAAGAAGGAGAAGGTCAATATGCACGACGGTATGTGCCGCAAGACCACCCGCAAGGGCCTTGGCATATCGATCACGCTGCTCGCCCTGCAGCAGTTTTGTGGCATCAACGCCATTGCCTTCTATACGACGAAGCTCTTCGAAGACGCCGGCGCCGGAATAGCATCTGAGGTGTGCACCATTATAATCGGAATCGTTGGCTGCGTTGCCGTCATACCGTCCATCCTGTTCATCGATCGTGGCGGGCGCCGCATATTCCTGTTCGTCGCCGCTGCCATAATGTGCGTCAGCCACTTCCTGATGGGGGTCTACTTCCACTGGCTAATGCGCAAGCATGTGGACTGGCTGCCGATAGTAGTGGTCTGCATATTCGTCTTCGTCTTCTCGATGGCCTTTGGCCCCGTGCCGTGGTTGATCATGGCCGAGCTCTTTGCGGAGGATGTGAAGCCGCTGTGTGGCGCTATAGTTGGCACATTGACGTGGATATTTGGATTTCATGTCACCATATTGTTCCCAATATGCTTGAAGCACATGGGGTCGGCGGCAACCTTTTGGATGTTCTCAGCCATCGCATTGCTAGCCTTTCTTTTCATTTTTGTTGTGCCTGAGACAAAAGCCAAGACTTTGGATCAAATCCAAGCAGAGCTCCAAGGCAAGCCAAAGAATTAGACAGTCACACTCAGAGACAAACGTACGAACAGATGTCCCTTAGTGAAATCTTCCAAATTTGGATAAATGCTGATAGACACAAGACACAAGACACACCTCGGATAGATTATCAGCTTAGTCAAGTTGTAATAATTTTCAGAGTCAATATAGTACTAAATTTTCGTTCCATATAGATATTTTAAACGTTTAGCGCAGAAGTAATATATTTGTTTTACGCTGAGAATACCTTCGTATACCGGGAGTGCGTAGAGTAATTACAGGGTAAACTGTTATACGTGTTCTTTGGACTTGTCAAACTATCTAAGATTGTGTTAAATGGAATTAAGTTCAGTCCAGATAGTAAACTGACACGAGTGGTTAGTCAGCTTTTGCACAAAATC